CCACCCTCCCTGCCCCCAGCCTCGACTCCCCCTCCCACCCTCCAAACCCCTTGGTCCCAGCCCAGAGCACCTTTCTACACCCCAAACTCCTCATCCCCAGCCCCACCCCAGAGCCTGCACCCCCTCTCGCACTCCAACCCCAATTTTGTGAGCATTCATAGCCCAACATACAATTTCTATTCCCTGATGTGGCCCTCGGGCCAAAAGTTTGCCCACCCCTGAACTTGTACAATGGGGCCCAGCCAGGTTGTGGTCTTCAGGTGCAATATCATGTTCAACAACAACAGAACTCTAATAAGATAAAGAGCAAGCACCACAATTACATCTCTCTGGTTATAAGAAGGGAGGCCAAAAGAGTAGAGATCATTGAGACCCAAATCAGGCCTTCGATGAGGCTGGAGAAAACCCTATTGCCCAGAAAGCCTGGGCAATTCTCAAGTTTTCTGCGTGCTAGACAAGGACAACAGTCTTCACCACAAAATAGGTATGGTTTTGACATCGAAACAGCTATCTTGATGTAAATTCCTAGTGAAGACAAGGCATTGTAGTTTTTACCTTGATGTACCAAGTCAAGGTCAGCCCTAAGTGGAGATATATGGGTGATCCCAATTAGCTACCAAAGGCTACCTTTACTTGGATTTTCCATCAAAAGGACTATAACTAAGGCTACATTTTAATCACGGGACCTCGGCTGGTGCTCGGGGGGAGGGGTTGGCGGGGCCGGGAGGCTCCCTACCTGGCTTCGTGCCTCTTCCCCACAAGTAGCAGCAGTTTGAGTGTGGGAGGGGGCAGGGGTTGGGGAACCCCAGCCAATGGGAGCTGCAAAGCCACTGCTCTGGGCGGAGGCAGCACACAGAGCTACCTGGCCATGCCTCCGCCTAGCAGCTGAGCGAGGCGGATGTCGCCGCTTCTGGGGAGCCCCCGAGGTAAGCGCCGCCCAGCACCCGCCTCACCCTGTCCCGTGCCCCAACCCCCTGCCCCCTCCCACACCCAAACTCAGCTGCGGGGAAGAGGTTGGGAGCACAGGGCCCCGAGACTGCCCCAGCTGCGGCCAGTGCACCTGGCACAGGAGCTGCCTAAGCTGACCCTGAGCCAGGTACACCGGCTGCTGCAGAAGTCACAGAAAGTCACGGAATCTGTGACAAACTTGCAGCCTTAGCTATAACTGATCTAAAAAACACACCTATTTTGCAGTGAAGACATAGCCAGGAGGGCAGAGTGACAGACACAGCAACATGGGGAACTAAAGGAGCAGCAGAGCACAAGAGATCTGAGCTGTCTCAGAAAGGTGGAGGATGAAGGGGCTGAGATGAGCAGTAGACATGTGCTGACAGACAGATGGGAAAAGAATGGGTCTAGCTCAGTGGTCTCCAAACTTTTTACACCTAAGATCACTTTTGGAATTTAAGGACAACCCAAGATCCACCCCACCCCTTCCCCAAGGTCATGCCCCGCTCACTCCATCCCCACCTCTCTCCGTCACTCAGACTCTTCCACCCTCACCAGGCTGGGGTAGGGGTTTGGGAGGGGGTGCGGGCTCTGGGCTGGGGCCGAGGAGTTCGCAGTGTGGGAGGGGGCTCTGGCCTGAGCCTGGGGCAGGGAGTTGGGGTGCAGGAGGGGGTGAAGGTTGCAAGCTCTGGGAGGGAATTTGGGTGCAGGAGGGGACTCCAGGGTGGGGCAGAGAGTTGGGGTCAGGGCTGGGGCTTCCCCTCTCTACAAGCACCACTCCCGCAGCTCCCATTGGCCACAACTCCCGGTTCCCAGCCAATGGGAGCTGTGGGACAGTGCCTGCGGGCAGGAGCAGTGCGCGGAGGGAGACCTCTGCCCTCCCCACCCCCGGGACCGCGCTGGCTGCTGCCACTTCCGGGAGTGGTGTGGGGCTGGGGTAGGCAGGGACCCTGCCTTAGCGGAAGCCCCACTGCACCACCAGGATGGGGGGGGTA